TTATTATTATTATTATTATTATTATTATTATTATTATTATTATTATTATTATTATTATTATTATTATTATATCACGTGATCCTGGTTACAAGCCACTTTTTTCCACTGTTGTCATAGTTTCGAATGGTTGCCAAACGAATAATTGTAAGTCAAGGACTACCTGTACATTGCATAGAAAATGGCACAATAACCATTGATTCCCCCACACTAATTTTTAACTAGTCAAGCGAAAGAGGACAGCATCTTCACTGCATGCACGTAAATAAAACACACAGGGAAATACATTACCAACGTTAGTGCTTAATTACTGTATTGTTAAGAATCTGCACAAAATCATCTTACCATGTACGATGCAAAGATCAGGACACGTTTGTGTTTCCCACACGGCCACTGTGGGTCATCAAGCAAATTGGGATTGTATTCTGCTAACTCTCCCACTTCATTTCCTGGAAGCAAAGAAGGAGTTGAAGATTAAAAGCTCGCCAGGGTAATTTAGGAAAAGCATCTCCTGAATCTTTCTGAAGGATCTTTGCTGTCAAATCCAGACGAGGCTAAGAAAGGCTCAATTCACAGGTCACTCATTTTGCAGGGCGGGAACACACAACAGCGGTGCTCTGCCTACAGCTGGCAGGAAGGCCATTTTCTGCTACGTGGCCAAAGAAGTGCATTTTCTGACTTGGGCCAGGTCAAATATTGCTGTTTTGGTTCACTTGCCTGCTTCCTTTCTGGGTTGGCAAGCCCATATACTTCAACAGCTTACTGTGTATCATAGCAGGCAGGAATGCAAACTCTCAGCTGGTCCCTGGTTACTGCTCAAAGTATTTTTAAAGGTTTATGAATGGAATAGTGAAATATGGATCTGTTGAATTTTTTTTAACCAGGTATTAATTGACAAGAAATCTACTTTCCCCTTGTAGCCCTAGCAAAATAAAAAAGCCCCCCCCCTCTCTCCTTCCTTCCTTCCTTCCTTCCTTCCTTCCTTCCTTCCTTCCTTCCTTCCTTCTCTCCCTCCCTCCCTTCCTTTTCTTCCTCCTTCCCACCTGCCAGGAGAGAATCAATCAGATTCAACACAATCTGGACAGAACATCACATCACTGTTGCCACTAAAACAATGCAAGGAGTTAAATCTGGAAAAGAATACTTTAAGCTGGCTTTATTTTCAGTTTACCCATGGGAGACAAGCAGCTTGAGATTGCAGTGCAAAAGCTCAAAATCTTCAAAAACCCTAGAACAGGGGTAGGCAACCCAAAACACTCAAAGAGCCACTTGGACCCGTTTCCCACCGAAAACAAAACACTGGGAGCCGCAAAACCCTTTTGATATCTAAATCGGCCCTGTTGAAAAGAACTAAAAAGTTCGAAATGGCTATTCCAGTTCTCCCTTAATTCTTTGTTAGCAATCCAAATTTTGAAACACACACACACACACACACACATATCATAAAGGTAAAAAAGGATATATGCAGTGTTATCTTCCTTTTAGATATCAAAAGGGTCTCTCTGTCTCTCTCTCCCTCCCTCTCTCTCTCTCTCTTTCTGCCCTTGGTCTGCCAGTCCTCTTCCCCCACTTTCTCTCTCTCTCTCTTTCTCTCTCTCGCTCCCTCTCTCTTTCTCTCTCTCTCTCCCCCCCTCTCTCCGATCTTCTGCTCACCTGGCAAGCTGGCTTCAAGCTGTTCTCCAACAAGCTCAGGGGTAGGCAACCTCGGCTCTTTTATGACTCATGGACTTCAACTCCCAGAATTCCTGAGTCAGCATAGCTGGGCTAGCTAGCTCTCTCCTGCCCTTCCTGCTTCCTGCAGAGATGCAGCCAAGGCAGGAGCCCCGCCCCAAAAGCTTTTCAGCTTGTCAGAGAACATCGTGAGTCCACTCTCTTTTTTACACATACACACACACACACACATACAGAGACAGAGAGAGACAGAGAAGCAGGGAAGCGCAAGTGCCTCTCTCTGTCTCTGTCTCTCTCTGCAAATGGCAGAGGAGGCTGAGCCACAGGGGAAGGCTCAAAGAGCCACATGCGGCTCCAGAGCCGCAGGTTGCCGACCTGTGCTCTAGAAGATAACTACAGATAGCAAAAATACATATAGCAAAAAAAACAAAAAAAAAACCCCAACCCAAAACAGAAAGGAGCTAAACAGGCCCGTAATTTGATTAAGCAAAGGCGTATTTATATATGTTTTGTTTAGTTTAGTCTAGTGTTGAGGCACCAGGAGACTGAGTTCTAGTCCCAATTTAAGCATAAAAACTGCTTGATGACTTTGGGCTCATCACCAGGAGGCTGGGAGCTCTAGTCCCGCCTTAGGCATGAAATCCAGCTGGGCGACTGTGTCCAAGTCACTTTTTCTCAGCCCAATCCACCTCAGAGGGATTGTTGTGGAGAAAATAGGAGAAGGAAGGAAGGACTAGGTATGCTTGCTCGTTTGACTTATTTATAAAAAATAAAAAGGCGGAGTAAAATACACACACACACACACACACAAATACACCTCTCTCTCTCTCTCTCCTAATAAACCACATTAAAAAAAAACAAATAGTTCCTGAAGGTCAATTTTTCTATAAAATATATAGGACTATTCTCATTTGGCTTCAATATATGTATTTTTAAAAGCTACAAAAGTCATGCAAATGTCTGGGAAAAAGGACGGGAAAAGGATGTACTGAGTCCATTCCAAATGTGCATAAATCATCTCTCCACTGACCCCTTCCTTTCTCCCTCCCTCCTCCAGTGACCCCCTGCAGATCAGCGGTTTCTGCTGTTGTATGTTTTGTTACTCCCACAAAGCTACAGCAGGCGTATCTGACAGCTCAACGGTGCTGCCTCCCTCAATTAGTGGTGCTCTTGCCGTGGCTCCGAGCAGCAGGTGCCTGGCTCTGAGCTTCCATCCTGCTGCTTTTTGCAGAGGTGAGCTGAGTCACGACATGGCCTAGCCAAATTTTTCTTAAGGTCTCCCAGCGGTGGTTGAAAGGATTTGTCAAATCATCTTGACAAAAAAGGCCCAGCCGTGTGTGACCAGCTGCGGCTCGGTGATAAAGCAGCATCAAGAGGGCAAAATGGAATTCCTTTTAGGAGCACTTAGGGCACCCGGAGATGCTATTCTTGATGGATCGCTGAGCTAGAAGGACCAAATGGGCTTTTAGCCAGGACTCTCAAAGCCAACCTCCTGTTTGCTGCTTGTTTGTTCCTTGAAAAAATAATTAACCTTCTTTCTTTAGGACCTCTGATCCACATTTATGCAGCATTTCAAACTTTGAAGGAAAAAAAAAAAGCTAGAGACAGTTTGGTCTAGGGCAGGGGTAGGCAACCTTGGCTCTCTTACGACTCGTGGACTTCAACTCCCAGAATTCCTGAGCCAGCCATGCTGAGGGAAAAGGGAGAGGTTTCCAAGCTGAGCCATGCTGGCTCAGGAATTCTGGGAGTTGAAGTCCACGAGTCATAAAAGAGCCAAGGTTGCCTACCCCTGGCCTAGAGGTTAAGACACCAGGCTAGAAGTCAGGAGTTCTAGTCATGCTTTGGGTATGAAAGCTAGCCCGGTGACTTTGGGTCAATCACCAGGAGACTGTGAGTTCTAGTTCTGCCTCAGGAATGAAAGCTACAGTATTTGGGTGACTTTGAGCCAGTCACTTCTACCCCAATTCGTTTCACGAGGTGATTGTTGTGAGGAAAATAGGAAAAAGAAGGAATATTATGTTTGCTGACTTTAGATATACAGGTAGTCCTCGACTTACAACAGTTCATTTAGTGAGCGTTCAAAGTTACAATGGCACTGAAAAAAGTGACACGACCGTTTTTCAGTTGCAACCTTTGCAGCATCCCCATGATCATGTGACCAAAATTCAGATGCTTGGCCACTGGGTTCATCTTTATGACCGTAGCTGTGTCCCAAGGTCATGTGACCGTCTGACAAGCAAAATCAATGGGGAAGCCAGATTCACTTAGCAACTGAGTTACTAACTTATTAACTGCAATGATTCACTTGACAACTGAGGCAAGAAAAGTCATAAAATGGAGGCAAAACTCACTTAACAAATGTCTCACGTAACAACAGACATTGTGGGCTCAACTGTGGTTGTAAGTTGACAACTACCTGTACTGGCCACCCTGTTTGAAAATCCTGGAAGTTGTTTGATGCAATAGTCCTGGTTGACGTTTTTATAATCGAAACAGCAGAGTCAATGCACAAGAGAGAAGAATCAATCAGCCACAGGAAGTTTTTCAACTACTGCAGAACTAACAAAAAGAGGAAAAAAATGCCCCAAGGGGTGGACAATGTCTCCCCCAAAATAACTCAATTGAAAAGTGGGTGCAGTAAATTATTGACTGAGTCTTGGGATGAGAACCTATAACAGGCTGGCATTCTAAACAGAAGCAATCTATCCTGCTGTATTGTGTTGCAAGTCTCGCTTCTTTTTCGCCTATTTATCTCATCACTTAAAAGGAGAACTGGCTTGTTTTCAAATTTAAAAGATGGCACTCATTGAGTGATCACAGCTTGGCTTCCCAAAGCCAAAGTTGGATGGATGAAGCCTTCGCTCAAGCGTAGCAGTAAACTATTCAGAATTGCTATTTTAATGCCGTTGGTACTTTGCCCAGATTTTTTATAAGAATATATTTACATTTTTGGCTTTTTAAGGCATTGCTTCGACTTTCAGGAAATGTCTCATTTGTACCTTTTGCATAACCATGCTTATGAGGTTTTTTTTTAAATTCTATATTTAGTTGGTTTGAGACCTCTGGATGCAACCGCAGAAACCGACCTAGGAGTACACAGCCAGTATTAAATTTGATTAAATTGAGGGATTTTAAAAGAACATTTTGTAAACTCAATAATGCCTTTAAAAAAAATAACATATTGCTGAACTGTGGAAGTTGGAATCCAGATAGAGCCTATTTTCTACAAGACTCACAGCTTGCGAGGTCTCATGCCAATTCTCTGGATGTAAAGGGCAGATAGAAATACATTAAATAAACAACAGAAACTTATTTGGGTTTGAGCTGAGGGTCACAAAAGAGTAAGATGGTTGTGGGGATCTGTTCTAACCTCTCTGCCATGATTTAGTTAAATGCAGCACCAAATTTATATCTGGCTGCTACTTTTAGCTGCTACTTTTTACCCGTAAGTGTAAAAAACAGTCATTTCAAACTTTTTCAGTGTAACTTCAAACTGTCGCTAAAGAAATGGTTGTAAGTTGAGGACCACCTGTATTTGATGTGGGAGATGGTCAGGCTGAGCCCGAGGGAGAGGTCAAATGCGTCATAAGTCACGAGTCCCTGCGCAAGAGATCTAAGCCCAGCCCACTTGAATGCCTTCTTATCTCCCACTCATTTCCCTTGACCATTAATTGGTCAGATTCTTATAGAGAGCTTAAGCTTGCAATAAATCTTGATACTCATTTGAACTGCCTAGATCTCTTGATTTCCCCAGGGCTTGATTTTATCATTTCCAAGCTTTATTATAAATTTTCTTCTACGTAAGTTGACGCAAAGCAACCATTAGGTGACTTATTTTGGCTTAGTGTATGTGTGAACATAATCACTGTACTTTGTAAACCATGATTTCAATGAGGGTGAAGGTTCGTTCTGCGAGCTCGTGGGTTGGTTTCCAAACGTTTCGTTACCAGGCTGGGTAACATCTTCAGCGAAGTTTAAGGGGGGATGTCAGTGTCAGTGCTCTTCTGTTTATAAGGGCTTCAGGTGTCGGTGTGTCAAGTGAGGGTCTTGTGATGGGTCAGGTGCGAGTCATCAGTGAGAGGCTTGTGATGGGTCTTGTGATGGGGAGGTTACATCAGGTCAGGGTCATTGGGAGTTGAACTGCTGGTGGGAGGGGGCTTGTGTGGGCTGGTTAAGGATCGATGCTGTCTCTGTTTGGTTGTACGATTGATTTGGATTCTGGGGGGTTTGTAGGCTGGTTGTAGGTCAATGTGTCTGTTGATGGAATGGCTTGTGGAGTGCCAGGCTTCAATGAACTCACGAGCGTGGTGGGTGTTAGTGTGGCCAATGATTTTTGTGTTGCTCCAATCGAACTGGTGCTGTTTGGTGTCGGTTTGTAGGATTTGGGATCGTGGCGTCCGACTGCCAGCCGGTGTTCGCAGTGATTTTCCTGATTTCAGTCTTAACATTATGAATAAACAAGGTCTTATGGTTTGTCCACAAACCATGGTGGAAATTAACTATAGTACGGATTATCAGGATATGTGCAATTTCCACAGCTGAGCAGTTGCTAGGCATTGGAATGGGGCAGCTGTGGCACCCTTTGTGACAACAGAAGCCTGCCCTTGACCTTCCTCTGATCTGACCATTATAACCTTCAAAAATGGCCTGTTTCTTGGCTGTTCTTTGTTTCATATTTACAGGTTTATATACCATAGATCAGTCTCAGCCTTGGCAGCTTGAAGGAGTATGGACTTCAATTCCCAAGATTCCTCACCAGTCATGATGTCTGAAGAATCCTGGGAGTTGAAGTCCACACATCTTCAACTTGCCAAGGCTGAGAAACACTGCTACGTATGGTTTTTTTTAACTGAGGTGAACTGCAGCATGTAAGCAAGCTTGGATGAATATATTTCCACTTTTCCTGTCTTTCTCTGTTTCTATATTCTTTGCAAAGTTTCAAAATTCCCAAACGGGAGGTCTAGAATTCAGAAGAAATGACTGAATAGTCATTGATTTATATGTCTATTATTAAATGCAGAAGGCAACTGGTTAGGAGGAAATAATTGGATTACAAATTACAGTTGTGGTTTTTTACACATTGATTGGAAGCATTCAGGCAAATTAGATAAGTAGACAGCCTGGAAAATTTGCCTAGTAAAGGCAGAGCACCTCATAAATTGGAGGTTGGGCTCTTTCACTCTGTAGGATAAAACCAGGGTTGCATGCCTTCAGAGCCGGTGAGTTCCACCTGCTCAGCCCTTCCAAAACTTACAATAAAGGGGTAATTTTAATGTAAAATACATATAAATGCCTCTTCAAGTCAAGGGTAACTCTCAGTGACTTCGCAGACATAATCCGTGCAATTTTCTCGAACAAAACATAGAAATAACTTCACAATGCATTCTTCCAGATTGTTTTCAATGGGCCAGTTTACAGATGTCCTACTGGTCTCACACCTGTATGAGCCAAACCCAACTTTGCTCAATTTCTGATCCCATAAAAGTCAATTGGGGGGGGGTTGCCCTCTACTGAGGCTAAACGCCCTGGGAATAATCGTATTTCCTTTGAAAAAACAAAAAACAAAAGATGATGCTGATATTTAAAATACATGAAGCATTTATTTATTTCTTAGATTTTTTTTTATCCTTCCTTTATTACTTTATAAGTAACTCAAGGTGGCGAACTTACCTAATACTCCTTCCTCCCATTTTCTCTGCCAAAACAACAACCTGGCAGAGATGGTTTGGGCTGAGTAAGAGTCCACCCAGCCGGCTTTCATGCCTAAGGCAGGACTAGAACTCACCATCTCCTGGTGACTGTCCCAAAGTCATCCAGCTGGCCTTTATGCCTAAAGTGAGACTAGAACTCACTGTCTCCTGGTTTCTAGGCCAGCACCTTAACCACTAGGCCAAACTGGCTCTCATTTACATTTGACCTCACCCCACCCATATTTGTAGAGTCTTCTCTAGAACTCTAGTCAATGCAGCTCAGGGTTAAAAAAAATCATCCCAAGATTACGCTGAATATAGAACAGCATCTATCCTTTGCTCCAGTGCCAATTATTATGTACAAAAATGTCCTATTAGTGCAATTTTTATAATTAATTCTCAGGGTACAAACAACGACACCAAGAGGCATCATATTTTGAAAAATGTAGAATCCCCCTATTCGCTGCTTTGGAAAATGAAATGTTATCTTTTCACCCAATTGTTCCATTAAATCTACTGCTGGCAATATTCCATCTATCCTCTTAATTGCAATGCAACCACTGTTTGCTTTTTCTTTATTTAAAAGTTAATAAAAATACAGAAAGATGGAATACTCTTGTTCAAGGACTTACCCAGATCTGCAGTGGAAGGGATGGTTTTGGCTGCTGAAGGCTTGTACCTCGATCCTCCAGCTGTTCGGGATGCAGTTGCTCGACATACGGAAACAGCACTGATGCCATCACTTTTGTGGCCCACAAGAGCGTTGGTTGGGTACAAGAAGTTTGCATAGGACACCACCTGAAAGACAGTTCCACAATCGTCAGCAACAGACGCCCCATGATTTCAGCAACAGTCTATCTTTGGTTCCCAACAAGTGTTTTTTCTTGGAACTGGAATTCCCTGGGAACAATCCTGCCAGTAGGAATTTCATTTCCCAACTTCGGTCGCCACGATATAAAAAAGATGCTGAGACTCTAGGACGAGTGCAGAGAAGAGCAACAAATTGATTAGGAGACTGGAGGCTAAAAGATACAAAGAACGGTTGCAGGAATTGGGTATGTCTAGTTTGATGAAAAGAAGGACGAGGGGGTGACATGATAGCAACGTGCCAATATCTAAGAGACTGCCACAAAGAAGAGGGGGTCAACCGATTCTCCAAAGCACCTCAAGGCAAAACAAAAAGCAATGGATGGAAATTAATCAAGGAGAGAACTATCCTAGAACAAAGGAGAAATTTCTGGACACTCAGAGCACTTAATCAGTGGAATAACCTGTCTCCAGAAGTTGTGGGTGCTCCAACACTGAAGGTTTTAAAGAAGAAATTGGAAAACCATTTGTCTGAAATGGTATAGGCAACCTTGGCCCTTTTATGACTCGTGGACTTCAACTCCCAGAATTCCTGAGCCAGCCACGCTGAGGGGAAAGGGAGAGGTTTCCAAGCTGAGCCATGCTGGCTCATGGGAGTTGAAGTCTGGGAGTTCATACTGGGAGTCGAAGTCCACAAGTCATAAAAGAGCCAAGGTTGCCTACCCCTGGTATAGGGTTTCCTGTTTAAGCAGGGGGTTGGACTAGGTCCCTTCCAACTCTGTTATTCAACTTTAACTGCCTATTTGGAAGACACAAGCTCAAATTGTTGGAAGGTCATTAACACATCAGCATTTTGACCTTGAAAGATTAATCCAAATCTGGGAATCCAGAACTAACCAGTTTTAAATTCAAACGAGCCACCCACAGGGGGTTTGCTAGCCATGTGGCTTGTGCATGGAGCGAGCAAGCGCCTTCAACATTTAACAGAGCAGGCATGACATGCCCACTGCATAAGGAGAAGATTCAAAGGGAAGGAGTTGAGAGCAAATTAATTACAAATAGTTTCAGTACTTCTAAAAACATATTTCTTCCCAACTGATGTCTATAGAGATTCTCAACCTCATCCAGGTCCTGGTTGTTCCAAAGCTGCTTTTCCAAAAGGCAAGTGGACCTCCTTGCTTTTTTCCTTGAAATGTTTCGCTTCTCATCCAAGAAGCTTCAGTTCTGACTGAAGTACTTCAAGGAAAAAAACCAAGAAAGTCCAGTTGCCTTTTGGAAAAGCAGCTTCGGGATATGGAAGCTGATTCCCGCCCCCCCTCTACAAACGTCCACATTACAACTCAAATGGTTTGTTTCATTTCGTGGGGTGTGTATGTGTCTTACCTTGCCATCTGCACCTAGTTCCACGCCTTCCATCCCTAACACCATCTCCGTAGTGGCTGAAATTCCCCCCGACGGATGCCTCTGCTTCTGGCCCTCTATTCTCAGCTCACTGTCCAAGGCAGAAGGAGAGCAAAACAGAAAATTCAAAGTTGCTTTCTTCTCATCCCAGCCCAAAGCAGCTCGATCAGCAGTTAAAACAAAAAAAAACATATAAAACACCCGTACATATTGAAAAATTAAAAGGGCAATTCCCTTGTCTGAAAGTGTTTTTTTTCTTTTTAAACATTAGAGGAAAAAAAATAGTTCAGTAAATAGTTAAGAGGACTTAGCTGGAATTCATCCTATTTTTAAAAGAGTTTCGTGTAGTTGTATCCGCGGAGAAGGCTCAACGGTTAAAAGTTATTCCCACGATTCGAGAGGACTGAAAACGCAATACAGCCTTTGAACTGCAGCCTGGAGGATATACCATAATATAGGAAAAGGCGTAAGCTTGAAAAGCTATAAAATACACAAAGATCTGATCCGGCTATGGGAACCTCTTTGCTAGAAATAACATCTGTGAACTTTACTTTGTACTCATCCCCCCTTTCAAAAACTACACAAAAATAGGAAGTTTCCTGCCAATTGTTAACTCCTTTAAATTTATGCCCCAGTGGGATAGTATGGTCACACAGCGCTTAGAAAGAAAACATTCTGCCAGCTTTCCCTAGCCAGCTGTCCTTTGGATGTGATGCGATTGTAACTCTCGGAATTCCTTGCAAAAAGACGGGAAATGTGGGAAGGCTGTAATATGTCAGAATTTCGAGCTTGAAAAATTAATCCAAAATTGGGAACCCAGAACTGACCAACTACCAAAACTATCTCTTAAAGTAGGGGTGTCAAACTCAATTTCATTGAGGGCCGCATCAGCATTGCGGTTGCCCTCGGGGGGCCGGGTGGGTGCGGCCTACTGGGTCGGCGTGGAGTGGGTGTGACCTACTGGGTGGGTGTGGCCAGCTCTACATCATTCGCGTCAAGGGTGCCTGTGGGGGCCTGGGCAGGAGTGGGACAGATCTGAGGGTCTCTGGCAGAAGGGGGGGGGACCGGGGCAAGCGCCAAGGCATGGTCCATTTCTTCATTCCTCACAAAGGGTGACACCTCCCCAGCAGGCACCCAGGGGGTGGAGCCAATACGGCAGGGGCCGGTTCCTCGCTGTTTCCAGACGGCCTTGTGGAGCTAAGACTGAATGTGTTTCAGCATAAATGGCCACCACAAAATTGTACATTGGCTCCTGGCCAGCCTGGGCCGGGGCCAAGGCAGCGGGGGCCGTTCCCTCACTGTTTCCAGGATGGCTTCGCAAGCCCCATGAAACCACTTCGCGGGCCGCATCCGGCCCCCGGGCCTTGTGTTTGACATGTCTGTCTTAAAGTGTGTATATGGGTAGTCCTTGTTTTGTGACCATAATTGGGACTGGAATTTTCAGTTGCTAAGGGATGTGGTCATTCAGCAAATCATTACATGACCAGACCTGATTTTATGACCATTTTTTTTACCACGGCTGTTAAGCGAATTACGTAGTTGTTAAGTGAATCACATGGCTGTTAACTGAAGCTGCCTTTCCCCAATGACATTGTTTGTCAGGAGCGAGCATGGAAGACTACAAATTGCAATCACAAGACCCCCCCCCTCCGGGACACTGCAACCACTGTAAATACACGCCAATTGCCTAGCAACTGCGGGGATACTGTATTGGTCATAAGTGTGAAGAACAGTTGTAAGTCACTTTTTTTCAGTGGCATCGTAATTTTGAACCATTGCTAAACAAGTGGTCGTAAGTCAGGGACCACCTGTAATTAATAACCCATGAGCTCATAACCTATTAGACAAGCTTGCAATTGTGTTATTCTACTGCCTTTCCCCTAAATTGTTAATCAGTAGCTAAATTATTTGGGGTATTCAATCTACATTTCCCATCCCCAGATAATTCATTTTGGCTTTCATTAAAATGAAGCACTTTTGAATGGTTTCACTATTTCCCATCAAGCTAGAAAGAAGTTTCCCATACGTTATTTATAGCATGGGGACGTCTGTCATGAAAATATCCATTTCCTTCTTCACGGCACTAATCACAGGAACTGGAGTGATGAGTTATTTTATTTTTGTGACAAGGCTAATTAAATGTGATATACATCCAGCAAGAACCCGAAATATGTCGTGGGATTTCTGGAGGAAGGGTTATTAAATGAACGTCTGCTTATCAGCCTTCCTTTAATTAATCTTTAATGTGTGATTCATTTCTTCTCAAATTCTGAAGTGCGTGGGCCAGGAATATAACTTACGGAGTGCAATATTGTTACGCACATTATCAACAGTGCTTGGATGAACTGATGTGCATTCATGCTGGATGGATGATTCCCAAATGGCCATCATCTTGTAAGTAGAAAAGAGCATCTGAACATTGACCTGTCCTGTTAAGACTGGAACAACCAGGAACGGTTGCTGGAATTGGGTATGTCTAGTTTAATAAAGAGAAGGACGAGGGGGGACATGATAGCAGTGTTCCAATATCTCAGGGGCTGCCCCAAAGAAGAGGGAGTCAAGCTATTCTCCAAAGTGCCTGAAGGCAGGACAAGAAGCAACGGATGGAAACTAATCAAGGAGAGAAGCAACCTAGAACTAAGGAGAAACTTCCTGACAGTGAGAACAATTAACCAGTGGAACAACCTGCCTCCAGAAGCGGTGAATGCTCCAACACTGGNCTCTGGAACGAGCTGCCCCCTGAGATCCGGGTGATCCCGGATCTCCCCTCCTTCCGCCGCGCCCTTAAGACCTGGTTATTTCAGCAGGCAGGACTGGCCTAGGGGTATTTTAAAGGGGTTTTAAATTAAATTTTTAGTAGAAGCGGCCAAATTTAAATAGTTATTTTTAATCTTTTTAAATTTTGTATTGTATCATTGTGTTAAACTGGCTGTAAGCCGCCCTGAGTCCTCCGGGAGAAGGGCGGGGTATAAATTTAATAAAATCTAAATCTAAAATCAAATCTACGGAGTTCAATATTGTTACGCACATTATCAACAGTGCTTGGATGAACTGATGTGCATTCATGCTGGATGGATGATTCCCAAATGGCCATCATCTTGTAAGTGGAAAAGAGCATCTGAATATTGACCTGTCCTGTTAAGACTGGAACAACCAGGAACGGTTGCTGGAATTGGGTATGTCTAGTTTAACGAAGAGAAGGACGAGGGGGGACATGATAGCAGTGTTCCAGTATCTCAGGGGCTGCCACAAAGAAGAGGGAGTCAAGCTATTTTCCAAAGCGCCTGAAGGCAGGACAAGAAGCAACGGGTGGAAACTAACCAAGGAGAGAAGCAATCTGGAACTAAGGAGAAACTTCCTGACAGTTAGAACAATTAACCAGTGGAACAACCTGCCTCCAGAAGCGGTGAATGCTCCAACACTGGAAGTTTTTAAGAAGAGATTGGACAGCTATTTGTCCGAAATGGTATAGGGTTTCCTGCCTGAGCAGGGGGTTGGACTAGATTACCTCCAAGGTCCCTTCCAACTTTATTATCATCATCATCATCATCATTAAATGTTTCAAAACTAGACTTCTATACAGCTTTATGTAAACTAAAATGCAAAAAGTTAACCATAGGAAATATACTAAATTTACTGATGTACAGTTATCCTCATTTAAAAGAACAGACTTGCCACGTATATATGGGAACTTTTGACTACGCAGGTGGTCCTCAACTTACGATCATTGGAACTGGATAATTCCTTGTTAAGCAGCGCGGTTAAGTGAGGCCAAAATTAGGACCATACCCAATTTTGGCAACCATTTTTGTCATCAAAATGTTAAGCAAGACATTGCATGTTTGTGATTTGTGACCTTCTCTGTTAATGTTGCTGTTTGGAAGAGGGCTGGGAATATCACAAATCGCGATCACATAGCCGTAGAGGTGCTGCGACGGTCGTAAGTGCAAGGACCAGTCATGAATCACTTTTTTCAGCAATGCTGTGAGTGAATGGTTGCAAGTTGGGGAAATTGCACCTTATCTTCTATACCAGCTAAAATAGACCTTTTTTCCCTGCCCCGTCTCACTTTAGTATGTTAACTATTAACAGTATTTGACTAACT